TTTGCACAGTAGTTTTATATATAAACATACGTGCGAGCACACGAACACACTGCAGAGCTGCTGATAGACGGACTGAGGAAAGAAGAGATCAGTTTTGCAAATACACTGGCATTCTCTCCACAGAGAGTGTGGTGTGTAGAGAGAGATAGTTCTGTAACAGGAAACGGAAAGACAGCCTAAAATAACACAGATAAACCTGCAGGAGCGCACACACACACACACACACACACACAAAACGACTGTTTGGTCTTTCCACAAAAACATTTTCTGACAGACTACAATAATAATATTACTGATTATAATAATTTTTATTAAAGTATGCGTTTACTTTCTGTCAAATGTAAATAGTACTTAAAATATTTTACAACTGTAAAATTTAACGTCAGTCTTCTACAAAATTTCTTGTATTTTAGCTGTGCACTGTAAACGAATGGGCAGAAGGAGATTATCATAAATATAACAAGCCAGTTTACACCCTGTATTAACGTGTTTTGTGTCCAGATCGTATGTGGATCAATTTGGGCCAGATTTGCCTTCTTTTCTCTAAACCGCATCTCCAGTGTGGCCAGATGAGATCCGACTGTACTTTCCCTGCATTAAAGGGCACATTAACACATGCATCGTTTCCACTTCCTTTTTATTATTATTATTTTTTTTAATACTCCTTTCCCTGTTACGATACTAGTCGACAAGCTCGGCTTGCCCACTTTCATTGGCCCAACTTCAGCCTCGCGTATGCTCCATCTTTCGTTTCATTGTTTGTTCTCTCACCTGCTACTCGGAGCTCAGCAGACACACTTCCACTAATTATGTACAAATACTGTTTACACTCAAACACATTCTGTTTACATTAGGACAAACATCGACTCGATGCCCCTCTCACACCATCAGATTATCCACAATTAAATCTGTTGTCCTATCTGGGAATTTTTTGTTACCTGAACAAGAATTTGGAAAGTATTGGTTCAAAATGTTAATGTAAGTCCAACACAGTCTACCTTAATACTAGAAACACAAATACTTAAAATAGTTAAGTATTTAAACAGTTAAATCAACATAAATATGCAAGGTTTGCTCTTTTTAACTTAAATTTGTGTCTAACCTGAAATTTAGGTAAACTGAACATCAAATAGTAAATTAAGAAAAACAACCTGGCTCTGACATTCTGTTCTGTAAACTTAACTAATGTTCAGTGAACTTTTAAGTCTGTTAAGCACTTGCCTCATTACCAGGAGACTGGGAGTTCGAACCCCAGTGATGCCACATCAGTCCTGAAAATACCTGGTGCCACTGTGTAATAAAGAGTCCCAGCTGGTGTGAAAAAGTATGTGTGTGTACATATCTATACGTGTGTGTGTGTGTGTGTGTGTGTGTGTGTGTGTGTGTGTATATATAATTTATTTTGACTAAACTAAGAAGATAAGCTGGTGCTTCCAGGCTGGGTTAATTCAGAAGATGCAGTTAAGTTAACTTTTAATTTTAAAGCTGCACTATGTAAGATTTGGGGATTTAGAAACCTCTCTGGTGAAAATGTGTAATTGCACACAGCATGTGAAAGAACATTTTGTAGCATAGGTTGTCCTTCGGGCCCTTTCAAAGAGAACTTGGTGAAGGACGTGTCTTCTGAGTATGTTTATCAGAATTATCTACACTGTAACATATAATACAATATAAACCTTTTCTGTTAAAGAGTAAGCAACCTGATTAACTCTGACTTTATTATTAATTTTATTTACAGTGCACCTGGAAAATCACTTCATATTCAGTTAAAAAAAAAATTTTTAAAAAAGAAATTGTTGGAGGGGGCATATCGGGGCGACTAAAGTCGTGCAGTGCAGGCCCAGCCTAATTTACTTACACATAAACACGGCATTCTTGTTATGCTCGAGTCGTAACTCTGAAGAATCATGTCTATAAATATTTCTGTCTGTGAGAATAATGTGACGCCTTGTGCGGAAGTGTGTTTTGGCTCTACAAGTGTTATACATTTAACAACCACCCCCCCAACGAACACACACACGTGCCTGCCCGTGTTTGGTGACGAGCCTCACACACACAAAAAATGCTATGTATGTATAAGAGAATACGTATGTTCACAGTGGTGGTGATAGGAACCAGGCGTCCCCCTCTAAAAGCTCCCTCACAGGAAGTTGCTACATGAAATGGTTATGAATTCACTGCCTGATGACTGAGACACTGTTTTATGATAGTTTAGAGAAGATTTTGGCCTTAAACTCCCTCATGGTGGAGGGATACATGCAGGGTGCTGTGAGGCAAAATAGTCCCCAGAGAAAACTTACTATTTCAGATTTTCCACTATTTTCCATCATCAACATTCCATATAAACTCAGAAGACTCGTGTAGGTTCACTGGTGGTTCTGGATAGTAAATAAAATGTCTATATTTGTGTTGTAGTCATGGCGACCCCTGGTTCCTATCACCACCACTGTAAAGACATCTGAACCATTTCACACCAAACCACTCTGAATCTCTCTGATTACATCTCAGTTTACATCAGTTGAATTATGAACTTTTATAAAGGGAATTCCTCTTTAATCACCATCAGGTCTTTGGTTTCCTCTAAACGACTGTAGTTAGCAGTATGGAAGGATAATCCTGCGAGCTACCGTGAGGGAGGGGAGTGTATGTAATAATTTTTAAAGCATAGTAACTAATGTATGTGCGTATGGCTTGATGAAATCTTAACAGCTGATATTTCCTGCTGTGTTGCTGCTGCTGACGATGATGTAATCCAATACTGTGAAATTATGAGCTCTTGGACTCCTGGCCATGGATTGAACTCGTAATCTAACAATGATGCAGCCACTTAGATAGCTGCACCACTCAGGAGCACAAAGAAAATGCAAGTTTGAATAATATACAGTAGATACTGAATAACTAATTACATACTGAATATTTCATAGTAGATACTGAATAATTCATAGGAGATACTGAATAATTCATAGTGGAACTGCATAATTAACAGTACATACTGAATAAGTCATAGTAGAAACCGAATAATTAACATACTATACTTAAGAATTAATAGTAGTTACTAATTAATGTCTCCCTGAATAATTCACTGCAGGCACAGAATAATTCAAAGTAGTTACTTCCATCCATAGTGAAACAGCAATTCAACCACTGGAAAAGCACCTTTCTGAAAAAGCTCTTTAGAGGCGGACAGAGCTGAAATCACGGCCTCAGTGCAGCAGTGTGGTCTGAAGTGCCGTCAGCTTTGGCTGCTGTTTAAGGATTGAACTCAGTTGTGTATGATATGTGTATATTAGAGCTGTGTGTAATCACTGCTGCGTGACAGAGCTCTGTGTACCGTGTACAACAACAAAGTGCCTGGCGGAAATGGCACAAACACTGTAGCTCAAACGTAACTGTATTAGTGTGGACAAGACACAACATTAGAGCTGTTCCCCTGTGTGTCAGTGGAGTGAGCGTTCTGCACCCGCCGGGAACCCAGAGCAGATACACAGGAAGTGGAGCAGGAACTGCAACTACAAACTCAGACCAGTACAGATATAACACAGCAGCACAAACTACACAGCAGCTTCATTCAGTAATTCATAGTAATTACTGAGTAATTCACAGTAGACACTGAATAATTAATACTGAATGATATTAATATGTTACTAATTCATTTTGTGTGTGAGTGTGTGTGTGTGAGTGAGTGTGTGTGAGTGTGTGTGTGTGTGTGTGTGTGTGTGTGTGAGTGTGTGTGTGTGTGTGTGTGTGTGTGTGTGTGAGTGTGTGTGTCAGATGGGCACATATGTGCTCACAGTGAGACAGCTGCACACAGTCTCACACAGAGTGGGGGTCAGTCTGTCAAGTGGACTAAACACAGGGCCAACTTGAGAGAGGGAGAAAGAGGAGACAGAAGGACACAGAAAATTAGTATTTATTTTTTTGCAGAAAGGGAGAGAGAGAGAAAGAAAAGAGAGACAAATACAGAGAGAGAGAGAGAGGCAGAGGCAGAAGTAGAGAGCTCTGTATCTGTGTGTGTTGTCTGTGCTGCAGGAAGTAGCTGCATTGTTTATGTGAAGTAAGCTCTGTGTGTGTGTGTGTGTGTGTGTGTGGGAGGAAGTAGCCGGAGAAGCAGCAGACGGAAAGACACACACACACACACACACACACACACACAGAAGCTCCACAGCTTCTGTCTCTCAGCCTCATTAAAGAGCCCATATCCTGCATTTATCTTGTATTTTTTCCACTGAGCTCCACTTATAACATCTGTGTGGGTTTCTGTACCAAAAACAGTCATAATTCACGTTTACATGATGATTTTCCAGCCTCCCTTTATCCCTCAGAATTAAACAGGCTGTTTTTGTTACTGCGCCTTTAAGAATGATACATAAGCTCTGTTATAACCTGCAGTCGCTTCATTTGGAAGTGCAGATCTTTGGAATGATTTGCAATGATTGATTTCCCAACAGCCAGGAACAGCACAACGTTTAATTATATTCCTTCTACTGCAATAACTCTACAGGACTGTTTGTGAATGGGTGGGGCTAAACTGCTGTAGGCTGAATGGGTGGGGCTAAACTGTTGTATGCTGAGTGGGCGTGGCCAAACAGCTATAGGCTGAGTGGACGTGGCCAAACTGCTGTAGGCTGAGTGGGTGGGGCTAAACTGCTGTAGGCTGAGTGGGTGGGGCTAAAGTGCTGCTAATTAACTGTGACATCACAAAAGCAAACCTGGTTGGGTCATCATAACTGTTTTTTTTTGCAGCTTAGTTGTATGGACTGGAAAGTGAAGGGTGCATTTTGAAACTTTTACAATATTTACATACATCAAACTCACATTAAAAAAAGACGGACATGTTTATTCATGAGATGGACCCGGTCAAGACGAATCTACATGTTGTCCTGTGTACCTATTTAGGAAGAAAACTTGAAGCCTCTGTAATCTGTGCTTCTTTCTTCGCTAAATTAACTCAAACTGTGTGACGGTTTTCGCATCCTCTCTCTGCGGCGATGAGCGCGTACCTGTTTCCGTGCCTGGCTGAGCCCCTGTAGTCTCTGCTGTAGTTCACTCCTGTAATTCTGTGCCGCCTCTATACTCTCCTTCGCCTCCTGCAGCAAAACTTCTGCCTCCACCGACATCCTTGCAGCTCCTAGAAATAAATAAATAAAAAGCAATAACAATTAGGGATGTAAAATGCATCATAATTATAAAATAATTCCACACATATGGAATTATGCATCTTATGGAATTAAGCGTTAAAACAGCACTACATCTGTTTTGGGATTTGGGGACCTCTCTGGTGAAAACATGTAATTGCAAGCAACATGAAAAATGTTAGATATTACTCGACAATTATTAGAGATTAGAAAATACTTAACAGCTCCACGCGGTGTCAGGCAAGCACGTGTTGATTTACACAATCATTCCAACGCTGCAGTTGACAGCAAAAGTTGGAAAAACTTAACTCTCGACAGAGCGATCTGCTCACCGCTGCAGAATGCAGGCTTTACTGCATGCACACATGTGAACACAGCATAACATACTGCTGCTCACCTCACTCTGACTGGACTCACGTGATGCTGGTTGTCATGGTAACGTCTACACTAAGTGGTGCTCTTCGCATTAGGGTGGGGTAAAAATCGATTTTTAGGTGAACTGCGATGTGGATGTGAACAATTCTGAATCGATTCAAAAATGTCAAATCGATTTTCTGAATTTTAATAGATGACAATGTTGATGAAAAGCAAAGGGTGGAACATGGAAGTGCAGTGCCTGACAGTCTGTGGCGGCTCATAACAAAGACATAAGATGAATGAGCAAGAATTCCCATCTGCACCCTCGGCATTAAAATCTGGGTTATGGAAGAACTTTGGCTTCTAAGAAGTTGAAGGGATAAAGGACCTGGACAAAAGCCACACTATGTGCCAGTCTTGTCACTTTAAACTGAAATATATTGGAAACACAACAAACATTACACGTTTCCATCCAGAGGAGGAAGAAAAACAGCCGTTTTTAGTTGCTGCCAACCAGAGGACCATCGAGCAAGCAATGTCAGAGCTTCCACCCAACTCTGAAAGGGTGAAGCGAATTACAAACTCTGACGCAACTTTTATTGTCAAAGGATTTGCGTCCGTCAGTCTTTGAGAATCAGGTCTTTTGCGCTATGTGGCACACTTTGGAGCCGAGATACAGCGACCCGTCTCACAGATATTATACTGACACAGCGACTCTACAACGAGACCAAAACAGAATTTAAGAAATCACTGAGGAGCTCCACACAAGAGCAGTGAATGAGCGTCTTCCAGTTCACTTGACACATCACTTCCATTTGATTTATTAATAAGATATTTCGAAGTAAATTCATTATGGATCATTCCAAATAAAAGTACTTTAAAGTGCTTTAAAAGTACAAAGTCATCACACAGTGAGAAAAAAAGAAATCCTGTAATAAGATGTATGAAGATGCATCGATAATCATTTCATAATGGCATCGCAGCCCTAGATGCCTAGAGATTCCCACCCCTACTACGTATGCGGGTAATTCTGGATCGGATTACTTGTAGTGAGCATGTAAACCGATATTTCCATCAGAATGTTGAGTAGCGTGAGCATATAAGCACCGCAGTCTTCATCTATAATCAAAATGAATTAATCAGATTAGCGAAAACCTTTGCATGTAAACACAACCGGTGAAGGCAATCCCATAATACCGTTCACCAGCCGAGAGTTGCTTCAGTCTGATAAACATGGTGGACTGAGCGGCTGATTCTGGCAACCAGTGTGTTTACTAATGTATTTCTCATCTTCTGTCTTGATTGTTTTGACCTACTGCCGTATTTATTTAACATATTTGTGTTTGTAGATCGCTAGAAATGGCTTCTGTGGATAAATTTAGGCAGCTCGCTTGTCTTACGCGACCTGACGAGCCTCGTGGGTTAATCCTTTGGGTGAGCATGCTAGCTGTGTAAACACAAGAGAGTCCAGTTTAACTCCAGTGTTAAAATCTTTACACTGGCTTTTAGTTAGTTACAGAAGAGTTTAAACAGCTGGAAATATTACACACTTCAAAATGATGCTTCTTCAAGGGTTCTTTAGTGAAGAAAATGGTTCTATATAGAACCATGAACACTCAAAAAAACCCTTTGCATGATTACAGGGTTCTTTGCATCGCGAAAGGGTTCTTCAGATTGATGATTTTTGAAAAGGGTTCTATATAGCACCAAAAAGGTTCTGGTATTGTTACAATATCAGGCTGTTAAAACAGAAGAATCATTTTTGGTGCTACACAGAACAGTATACAACACATTCTCCACCAATCTGAAGAACCATTTAAACACGTAAAGGGTTCTTTGAGTGTTCATGGTTCTGTAGACGCATTTTCTTTACTGAAGAACCCTTAAAGAACTATCATTTAATTGTGTAGTATATAAATCACTGAATGGTTTTGGCCCAGAATGCATCTCTGACCTGAATACAAAGCGAGTAGGTCTCTTGGATCCATAGACTCAGGTCAGCTAGTCGAGCCCAGAGTACAAACGAAACAGCATTCAGCTGATATGCTGCTGCAGCTGGAAGAAGCTACCAGAAGACCTCAGATGAGCTCCAAACGCAACGGTATTTAATACCAGGTTCAAAACATTTCTCTTTTCATGCGTCTATGATTGAGCCCTGGTCTTACTGCACTGCTCCCTAAATAAGCTAATTTTAACAACACTGAAGTCCTTTGTTGTACTTCTATTTATGTTTTCATTCTACTTTATGTACTTTAAAAGAACAATAAGAAGAAACCTACAAAGATTTTTATCTTGTTTGTTTGTCACTCTTAAGCACTTTGTCTTTATTTTCCTTTTGATGTTCCTTTTATTTATTTAAACAACACTGAATTGCCTTTGTGTGTGAAATGTGCTGTATAAATAAACTTGCCTTGCCTTAAAATACTGGTTGTTAACTGTTTAGTAGTTCTCTTTATAAACAGTTCAGATTCTATATTGCCTGAGATGCTGCTGCTTTGTTAAGACTGTTTCTGTTTTCAGGGACTAAAGAGAGACAGTCGTTACAGAAGCTGGCTGAGGAGCTGAGGAAGAAAGGCTGTTCTAGGGAGAAAACCTGCGCTGAATGGCTGGAGGCAGCTCACTTTTCCTGCACATACAGAGAAAAAGAAGGTGGGAATCAACACTACAGACTGACTCCTGGGACGACTCTTAACTGGACTCTTTATTTGTAGGGTGGGGGCTAGTTTTTATTATGGGGCTTGTTGAGAGGAACCTCACATAGCCTAGATGTAGAGCTGGGCGATATGGCCAAAAATGTTATCACGATAAACAAAATTCATATCGTTTGATATCGATACATATCGCGATAAATGTCAAATCATTATTTCTTTCAAGTTTGAAGGCTGATTTTTGCTCCTGGGTGGTTAATTTGTGTTTTAAACTATCCTTTATGGTCGGAACACGATAAACACTCAGCAAACAGTGGAACATTTCACAGATCTGTCATGGGAGAGTGGGAGAAAGTGTCTGGTTGGCTGTTTTTACCAGCTGGAAAAGCACGGCTATTTTTGTAATAGTCATAATTTCAGAAAGAAAGATTATTTTAGCTGGTGCCGAGCGCTCGGCTACCCCGCTACACATGACATCACAGTATTCAGACACCAGCTAGACGACTGGATTTCTCTATTCAATTGTAGTAGTTTGAGGGGTGAAGCGCAAAATATCAACACCAGACAAACTTTTTAGGTACGTTTAAACTGAAATCAGTGCTTTTGTGTCTTGTTTGATCTACAGTATCATCAGTTTGCCGTGCTGTGTGACTGACGGAGCTGCTTCTAGTTAGCCAGCTGCTAAAACCAGCTAGCCTGGGAAGATAGCGCTCTCCTGCTCTCCAACGCCTCACAGCTTCCTCAGTTTACTTTCGTGTAAATCAGGGCTGTAATTAACATGAACCACTTCTTTCTTTCACTTTCGTTGCTTGTGAACGCACTAATACTAAAATCAGACTGAGCGCTGTAACAGCGCTGTAGTTGTGAGGATTGTGATTGTGATTTAACGCTGCTAAAGCTGTTAGGATGTTAGTAAAGAGGTGAGGTCACTGTAGGACAGTACAGTTACACCACTGACCTCGTCACTCACACTCGGTCACAGGAGAGCAGATCGCCGGTCGCTCCACTCAAACAGACTGTATAACTCCGCGTTTCAGCCGTTGCTAAAGACTCATCTTACTCGTCGCCCCCTCCCTCTCTAAATCATGTCGAAAAACTTGGAAGTGCGCCCTCTCCTGGCGACAGCAGAGTAGTGTCGCTTTCCTTGCAGTAAAAAACACCACCAAGGCTTTCGCTAGAACGTGGGAGTGGTGTATTATATCGGACATTTATTGAACATGTTGTATCGCTCTATCGAGGAAAAGTTATATTGCGATAATTATCGTCATTGTTTTATCGCCCAGCCCTACCTAGATGTAAACAAAGCAGGGCAGTCAATGTTGAGTAGTAGCAGCTAAGTTAAACTTAGAGAAAACCCCCGTGTTACAATATTTTTATTGGGCTAAATAATAAAAACAGAAATGAACAATATATAGACAGAGTTCTACATTATTTTCTAAACCTAGAAAAGAAGTTAAAGGCGAGTGTGTGTAAAGCCCACAGTGGCTTCTCTGAGTGTGGTAAAATTGGTGTAAAGCTGAAGTCTTGAGGTGAGGGAATCAGTGTTTTTGCACTGTTTGTATTCGCATTATCTGCATTTACCTTATGAAGAATTTCAATAAATATATAGACACACACATTTTATATATACATAAACATAAGACTATAATAGTCAGAACAGTGCAAGTTTCACACCAGGTACACACAAATCAGACAAAATGCATATTAGCCACCTTAGCTGACTGTGTGTGATCCTGGGAGCATTTCTTACAAAATTATAAAAGGTTATATAAGGTGGAGCTGAGCAGTGAATGAACTGTAAGTTGAGTATTTAACAGCAGATGCGACTCCTTAAAGCAGCCTGTTTTTCATACACAACACATTCCCACAACAGTGTCAATGCAAGGAAAACAGTAGCTGCAGATGTAGAATCCGTCCTTATACGCCAACATGTGACTGCAAATAGATGTGACATGTACAGTGCAGTGAAAGTTAAAGAGGAACTACAC